CTTCCTAGAAATTATCTTTACTTACTCTCCACCCTGGAGAGAGCTTTTACTGAGACAGAATAAGGCACATAGTGCAGCTTTTGTCCAAAATTCTGTACTGGTTATAGGCCAGTCATTATTACCTGTGCAATGAAACCCTTTATTGTGCTTCAATCCGTAGACATTTTGCTTCTGTGAGTTGTAAAATATTTTCCTAATAATTTAAAGTCTTTTGTAAAAATTTTTGAAAATTGTGGAACCATGGGGCAGTAGCTGGAACTGCCAAAGGAAGATTATAAAATTTTACTGCTTGCACTTTTTATTTGACTTGCATTTTCTCGTTTTCTTCCCCACTGCTCAGCAGCCTTGTTAGTGAAAATGTACTCAATGACAGGAGAAAGACAGAATGTGCTCTCTTTTTATGCTCAAAGCAAATCTTATCAAGAGAAGCCAGTTCTTCCTACCTTTTCAGTCCCTAGGCACTGACTGGGAAATTCCTCCTACATTTATCAAACACAAATAAAGATAGGGGTAGCGCTTCTGGGATCCCATTTTTAATTCTCTGTCCAGATAGCTGATCACTGAGACGTCATGGTGAAGCAGAAAAAGAAAAGTTATTTTGTTGAAGTGCTGGAAGTATGCTGCTTTGGTCCACAAAACAAATGTTTATAAGGCAGTTATAAAATCAAGCCAGCTTCCAGGCAGTAGAAAGAAGAGGCAGTGTCATTATGAAGGGCTAAAACAGGAAGAGCATGGTTGTCAGCAGTTGGGAGTTTCCTAGATCAGTAAAGCAGAAATAAATACTAAAGTTATAGCTGTGTAAATGCCAAGTCTAGCAACCAGAAAGCTTCAAGTGGTCCTCTCTGAAAATAGAAGATTGTGAAATAGCTGCAAAACAAAGATGTTCTCTTACTATCTCTGACATTAATTTTAAATACTGGAATACTTGTTTCCTTCTTTTAGTGCTCATAACCTGTTCAGTCTGCATATCAGGAGAGACACCTGGAATTCATGTTGATACACAGAAACTTTCTTCAAGTATGAATAGGGCTAGTTGACAATTACTATACTATTCATCCATTCTTCAAAAGTAACATTTTTGCAGGAAGTGTTTGAACTCTTTGTTTTAGCAGGGACTAATTAAATTTCTCCAGTTCATGGAGATAAAGAAAAGGTTCAGAAAAGGTTCAGATACGCTATGCAATTTTTATTAGTGAGACATTGCTACATACATATCAGATTAATTCACACACCTTCCAGAAAAAAAGTTCTTTAAAGGTTTTGTAGTGGGGACTGTAGCAATACTTGGCAGTTATGAAAGAATTCAGTGACTGTTCTAGAAATTCTTTGTGGTTCAGCCTTAGAAAACCACATTTTGACTACTTTTTCCCCTTTTTCGCTCATATCATTTAGGTTTTGTACATTCTGGCAGCAGCTTGTATCAAACAACCTTAGGTGAAACCCGACATGAATTCAGTAGTCCATGACCTTTTTACTTTTACTAGAGCAACGTTTTCCCTTTTGCAGGCAGAGTGCCCAGAGACTTTGCTTGAAGCAGCTAACAGCAGATCCTCACAACTGTTCTTTAAGAAAACACCCAATCTACATGCCGCCCTGTATCGGTGTCCTTTCTAGCAGGTATTCCTAATAGCAGTGTTTATCATAACTGGGAAGCAAATTAATTTGTTTATTAGCTCTTCCATCATGTGGGATAGCTGTGACAGTTCCATAAGGAAAAAAAGTTTCTTGCTGGTGAGTTTTTGGCAGTCTTCAGTTACTGTTAAGTAATATAAATGGTATTTTTCCTCAATAACAAGAGGAAAATAAAAGACAAATGAGAATAAAATGAGCAGGAAACTGTGCTGTTAAAGTAATGGGACATAGAATAAAGAAACATTTCTCCACACTGAAAATGCAGAGTTTGGGTGAAGTTACCTAATTGGCAACGTTGGCAAAAGTGGCTAAGATCCCTTCAGTTCTATGTTTGAAATACACATTTGAGAATCTTTACTCATGTTAACAGTTCATATATATAACGTATATTCTTTTTACCTTGGGCATCTAGTGCTAGTGAAAATAGTGGAAGCATGAGCTTTTCAGCTTCAATCTTTTAAAGTATGCACTTGGTCCAGTTACTTGAGACTGCATTTGATCTAATTGAGGCTTTATCTGCAGACTCTGGAAGCCATGGTGTGAGTGATAAGCACCCCCTGAAATACACAGGAAGGGAACTCAGAGTTTCACAATAAGAGTTCTTTAGCCCAATTTTTGTAAAACAGAAAGCTATCAGTAAATGAATTTCCTGATCATGGAGCAGTTAGCTACTGCCTATGAAGAGTGAAGAGTATTTTTGTCTTCTGTATTTTATTCATCTTAATTTCTGAATTTATAAATGGGAAATAAACTACATTTGAAGAAGTTACTTTGTTTTTTCAAAGCAATTTTGTTTCTCTTTTCTTGTACTAGTGTCACACTTTAGTGCTTTCAGAGATAATTATGCTGGGCATGTGCACAAGAATATTTTTTCCTCCGTAATGGCAACCACATGAGTATCCTCAGAATTTCTCCACTTTACAAATACTGTTATTCTTTAGTATACTGAATTATTCAGATTGTGTAAGAGATTTCCAAATACCTAATTTACATTTTGAGAAAGAGAGAGGCAAGTACTCTAGAATAATCATAAATGGACATCAAACTGTAGGTCTACAGGTCAGATCCAATGCCTTTATTCAAATTTGATATCAATTTGATGCTTCACAATAGTACAGCCTTGCCAGCAACAGTTACCCCAAAATGCTCACATATAAAATCTCCTGGCAAAGTAAAGTACTGCCTTTTTCTGGTGGATGGATTTTGTTTCAAAATTTAACTTGGAAAAAAAAAGCTGTTGATTCACGTGGGCTGCCACCAAGCATGCGGGTATTTGTGTTTGGTTCAGATACAGGGTTATTTTTAACAATGTAAAAAACCACTGGTTTGTGGTCAGGATTTTCCTCCCAAACAGAAGTTTATTTTTAGAATTTTCTGGGGCTCTGCATAGGTACAGGAGGCAACACTGCTGTTCACAGCCTGAAAAGTGCAACTCATAAGCATTTAGTGATTCTGCTTCTCTGGTGTGTCCCAGCCCGTTCATAAGGAGGGTTGTGAATACAGTCATAGAAGTGTTCAGGGCTAGTCATTCAGGATTCTCCATTCTTAAATAACTTTCAAGGTGGTTTAAATTAAACAGAAACATCTCATCTATTTCTGCATGAAAATATCTATGTGTGACCTTCCAGGATGGAACATCTGCCCTTATCTGTAGTGCAGCAACACACTATGTATTTTGAGTGATAGAATTTCTTACATGAAGCCCATAATCTTCTTCATTGAAGTCTGGGCTACCTTTTGGTCATTACGAATTGCTGCATTTTTCAAAAGATGGATACTGGTGTGAAATTGTTGATTTAGCAGAATGTAACTGCAAAAGTCTGCAATAACTTACAGTCACTGGAAAGCATAGCAAACTTGATGAGCAGTACTTGCACTATTTAATAAACAATGAAGCTTAAATGTCTTGCTCTGGGAGGAACTGCTTTAATAATTCAAACAGAAGTGAGCATAAAATATCAATATCTGCTTAAGAGTTGGATCTTCTGCCTAAGGGTATAAATTCATATTAGTTTTTACCCTCATATCTTATATAGTTACTTGTATAGTAGCAGACAATTGACAGGTGCTCTTTCCTGGATACTAAGTGAAAACTTACTAGGGTGGAAGTAGAGTATTGCTGCTGCTCCTTATTTCTACTGTTGTTTCATTACCTTCTTAGATCTCCTTTTTGTGTTGTTTTTTTCTTTCCACAATTGTATTTCACTTTTCTTTTGCATTACACTTTTTATAAAAACTTACAGTAGATAATTTTTATAATTCTTGTAGAGCTGTTCACTGTTGCATCAGCTAGAATGATCCACACTTCATTAGTAAAGCTTGCAATGAAAAGAAATATTTGCGTTTAGAATTGCCATGCTCATGATAACAGCAGTGGTAGTGAGAAATCAGATGTTGGTCAACCCTCCAAGAGCTACTCTCCTGAGCCCATCTTTGGCTTACATTTGGAAACATGGTTTATCACCATGAAGCCTCCAGCCCATGTTTTGTTGTTGTGGGTGTTTTTTAATTTAAAATGAAAGCTTGCATTCCGCAGAATCTGAATATACCACATGGAACTCCCATGCATCAGACAGGCTGCACACAGTGAGCCAAGTGAGCATCTCGTAGCTTTGACTTGGACTGAACTCCTGACCCTTGACACAGGGAGAACCAGAGAATTGCTTGGGGTTTTATATATATAAAAATATATAAATAAAAAAATACAAATAAAGATATATTCAAAAAAGGCAGTAAAAGTTCATAATTTATTAATACTTCTCTTTAAACCAAACCAAACAGAACCAGAAAACCTGAGTGATTTTATTTTTCACACAAAACCAACAGAAGAATTTTGTGTAAGTGGTTTGATGGTAACTCCGACATTTTCATACTACATACAAAATGTATCCTGTACAATTTTACATACTTTGTTTAAGTAACAGTCTGTATTAAAGTTACATAGGTAAAACTACATAAGACAGACCACAGCACATGGTAGATGATCAGTAGGTCTACATCTTTCTCCTTGATGTCCAGTATTTCAATCCAATTGCTGAAGAGAAGCAATAAATGATTCTATGATTCTAAATGCTGCATCTAGCACTAATGATGAACTGGTGAATACATGAAAAGTCATTACGGACTACAGACAAGTGTACAATGTTACAGAGAAAAAAGAAAGAAAACCTAATGTAGTAGTACAAAATGTTAAGATGAAATACTGCCTGAAAAACAGTACTTTACTAATTCATATGTATGAAGTCCTTAAATAACATCCAAATTGAAGTCTCTGTAGTTGTTGTCTGTGTCTTAAATATATTCAAAAATTCTCCCTCCTTTTTTACAACACA